AGAGAAAGGAAAAAATTGAAATCGCATCATATGACCCCTTTAAGACAATATTGGCTGATTAGACGGCAATGCTGACTTAAAATGCAAAATGTTTGCCCTCTCTCTTCACTGTTCCCACATCCCAGACCTCAAATACATAAAATATTACCCTTTTTAGACAGTTTTTTGAAGTAAAGAGTAAAGAAAATACTATACAAAACTTTCTAGCAGTTGCCAAGTGGTTATCAGTCTTACTTTTCCAATACAAATAAGACCAATCTACATTTTCATAACTGAATTAAAAAAAAGTTATGACCAGTCTGCAACCAGCCCCAGTTCTTTATTTACCCTTGTAAGATCACAAGTACCCTTGTACTGTATAGCTAAAGAATGTATAGCTAAAGTACTGACAGAAAACTTATTTCCTTTAAACCTCTCTTCACATCTTAACATCTCTTGTGTGAGTGTGTTCAGTGGATGTTGGCTTTGTTTGGAGTGTGAGAGACTCAAAGAGTGAATGCAGAGGGGTTACTGCAGTACACTCACTTTGTGCTGAAGATGGATACAGAGTCGGCCATGGAAGATAAAAGCTCTCAGCGCTGTCTCAGTGACTGCCACACTGACCTCTGCTCCACTCAGAGAGGAAAACAACAGCGACTGCACACATATATACAAAAGAGAAATGACAATAGCTCCAAAATGATCGTACATTCTGGAATCAATTCAGAACGAAGCATAAAAAGACCCTAATATTTTTTTCTGCCTCTATGATCTGGAAAAGTGGGTATGTTTTCTGGTTGAAAAGTTTTATGTAATATCTGAAGACCTCCGTAAATACAACCTCCCATGAACAAAACAATTCTATAGTAGTGTTGGGCGATATGCTCCATAGTTATATCCTCAGCCTGTGAGATCGCTGATACACGATATTATCATGTAAATTTATTTCCTTGGATTCATAGCCGGAGAGTAAACCAAATCCAGGGTATGGCTAAAAGCAGCCTAAACTACATATTCAAGTACTTTAGTCAAGTAACATATGGATGTCATGTCATAAAATATTTTTAATATGACTGTTTTTATTTGTAAAATTATATGACTGATTTGTATTTAACATGATAATTTAATAAAAACATTCTAAGTTACTAATTATAATGCTTACAGTTCCTCAGTTACATTATCAAAGAACATATCACTGACTTCAGTCTAGCATGAGTTTATGCACCCCCCCATTTTAATCAGTGAAGCTATCTACACCGTATGTAAATAACCGTAAATAAATCTCTTGTACTTATATTGCACGCACATCTGCACTTTGTAGTTTATGATGAGAGAATTCTCGAGAGAGCAGAATTCAGTCAGCGAGTGCGAACTCAGCAACAAAACACGACTCATCTCAACACCTCTGATTGGCCATTGCATTCACAAACTCAACAGAATCGTGTGTGATTGGTTATAACGCACAGCACTGTAAAAACGCGTAAAAAGAAATATGATGGAACAAATAGGCCCTAATATTAATTAGATAATAATATTAGCCCGATAATAATAACAATAAAATAATAACAATAATAATACTCGTCTTGATATCGTCAAAGGCATCAGCCACAGTGGCGATATCTCTGACTATCGTCGATACATGATACTATTGTTTATTGGCACAACCCTATTCTATCGGCTCATTAGAGAGCGTTGACTAATATAATAACATTGTCATTTAGCTGAACAGCTCAATGCAGCAGTATCTTTAAAGCAAGACTGGTGAAAACCTGCAATTACCATATTGACTTCGTAATGACCGTAATATCACATAAAGAGTATGTTTGCACCAGTTCTCAGTAATAGTAATCATCAAACCTCTGTACCTTCCATTTGTCGAGGGCCTTATGAAAGTGGTCTGATCTGATCCAGTGGCAGCGTGAACAGACAGTCTCGGGTTTTAGGGTGCAGGAGTACATAATCCAGATAGTCTAGGCCCAGATCTGGTATCGACTCTTCCAGCCCATCAAAATGCACTTTACCAGATGTATCTTCATCACCTTGCTGACAAGAGAGTGATCATAGAGGATATGAAAACACCTTAAACACCTTATGACCCCCCACATGGACACTCTACAGGACATTTACCGCTCTCACAGGTAAGGCCTCCACAAGCCAGTTCTCTATCAGCTCCACAATATGGCTGATCTGCCCCCAGCTACAGAGACACTCCACCGACTGACTGTATGCGGTCACAGCGGTGCCTGCTTTCAAACTCCTCAAGTGAGACATCACTTTACTCCTGCAGAGAGGAACACACAGTCATGCAGTACACCCAGACAGCCCTACAGATCGCTCTAAAGCCTTCAAAACACACTCAATCCCACCAGCATTAGAGAACACCTTTGGATCAAATAGGAATCAGAATTGGCATTTCGCTTTTAAGCCAACCTGCTGTTCTGGGGAGATGGCTGAGACACCATGCGGACTGTGTTAGACACTCAGCAGGAAAGATGATTTTGAAATGCTTTTTTCTTAATTGAACTGTCCTTTGCAGGAATGACAATTCAGATTAGTCTCATGTCAAGGGGGTGTTTTCATTTTTAGCTGCTCTACTGCTTTAAAATGGGGTATTTAACAATGTGAGCTGCACAGATAGGTAGTTGAGGGGGAGAGTCCTACTAACCTCAGTGCTGGAACAGAAGAGGCAGGAAGTAGAGAGGCTAGAAGAATGAGAGGGGCTTTACACCGTTCCTCCTGCGCACACACATATGCACAAAACTGCGTCATGTTGCAACCATATTGCATCAGCTTTAAGGGTGTGATTACAGTGTTCAGCTTTGCTTTTTAAATAGTCCTTTGGTTCTCTTTGTGAATGTGCCACTTACCTGAAAGATTTTAAGATACTGGGGCAGAACTGATGCAAACTTTAATGTGGTGTACTTGAAGGCATCTTGGTTAGCCATGAGAGATTTCTGAACACTTTTCCACAGAATTACGAGGATCTCCAGCAGGCTGGCCATGGAGGCAGTGTCCTGCACTGAGAGAACATCCTCCAACATCTAGTGACAATGACAAACATAATCATTATTTTTTTAATTATATTTTCCTTTTTTAACTCCATGCCAGCTTGTATGGCTCTGTTCATGGGGAGAGCTAGGTTTAGCTAAATTAGATGTTTAAGATTAATTTTTCTAACAAACTTAAAAATAAATTTGGATTTTTTATTATTATTATTACTATTATTATTATTGTTTATATCTGTCTGAACTTCCCAATCATTGCTCGACAGTTTGTAGGATATTGTGGAAAACATTTAATCTGAATATTAACAGGCTTTTCTCTGTTTAAAATATAATTAATAATATAAATAATAATATATAAGTGAGATTTAGTTTGTGAAGAATATCTGACTGTACATACACTACCATTTGAAAGATTTTTATTTTTTTTAAAAGTCGTATATATACATATATTTTTTCAGCAAGGATGCATGAAATTGATCAAAAGCAGTAAAGTACAGTAAAGACTTTTTTACATTGTTACAAAAGATAAATGCTGTTATTTTAAATTTGCCAAAGAAACCTAAAAAAATATTATGGTTTTCACAAAAAAAAAAAAAAAAATTAAGCAGCACAACTGGTCACAACTTTAATGAGATGAAATGTTTCTTGAGCACCAAATCAACATATCAGAATGATCATGTGACACTGAAGACCAGAGTAATGACTGCTGAAAATTTAGCTTTGCCATCACAGAAATAAATTACATTTTAAAATATATTAAAATAGAAAAAAATATTTTAAACTGTAATAACTTTTCACAATATTACTGCTTTTACTGTATTTTTGATTAAATAAATTCAGCCTTGGTTTCCATAAGAGACTTATTTTAAAAACATATAAAAAAATAAATAAAAATTTTACTGACCCCAAACTTTTAAACCGCTGTGTATATCAAGTCTCACCGTGCTGTTTTCTTTATTGCTAGATGCAAATTCATCATCTCCTGCATTTTGAATGCACACATTCAGGCACTTTCGGATCACTAGCATCAGCTTGACTACAAAGAGAAAGCACTGTGAGTTTACGTTGACATTTCTGAGAACGACACATACTGTACTTCCAAATGTCAAAACTAAACCTTCGTAACTCAACACACAATATAAAACAGAATTCATATTTAAGAAAGCTTACTGGGGTATCCAAAACAATCTAACCTATATTAGCAGGAGCTGTGTACAGATAAGCATGTTGGTAAAACTTTCGAGCCGCCCCAGGGTTTGTCTGAATCAGGCTGACGCATCGCTCGCACCAGACAGTCTCCGATTGGTTGACTGGAAAGAATGAGTTGAACAGGAGATTGACGATTCGCTTGGAAACAGGAGGAGAGTCCATTTCTAATCGAGCCAGCAGGTGCTCCAGGGAACACACTTTCCAAAACTGTAGCATGACAAAGTGGGAAAAAATAGGCAAAAAATGAGTACACTAATACTTTGCATTAACTTTTTACATTTTTGAAATAACATTTTAACTCAAAGGACAGCAAATTTGGTGAGAGAACAAAGAAAGTGTCAAATAATGTCAATCTATTATTTTACATTTACATTTAGTCATTTAGCACACGCTTTTATCCAAAGCGACTTACAAATGAGGACAATGGAAGCAATCAAAATCAACAAATGAGCATATGTGACCCTGGACCACAAAACCAGTCATAAGGGTCAATTTTGTGAAATTGAAATTTAATTTAATAAATAAGCTTTCCATTGATGTATGTTTGTTAGGATAGGACAATATTTGGCCGAGATACAACTATTTGAAAATCTGGAATCTGAGGGTGCAAAAAAATCAAAATACTGAGAAAATCGCCTTTAAATTTGTCCAAATTAAGTCCTTAGCAATGCATATTACTAATCAAAAATTAAGTTTTGATATATTTACGGTAGGAAATTTACAAAATATCTTCATGGAACATGATCTTTACTTAATATCCTAATGATTTTTGGCATAAAAGAAAAATAGATAATTTTGACCCATACAATGTTTTTTTGGCTATTGCTACAAATATACCCCAGTGACTTAAGACATATATGCATATATGCATGATATGCAAGTGCTATGACAAGTCTCAGTTATAGCTTGGAAGGGCTCAGAATGTGATTTAAACATTTATTTTTCTTCATAATCATATATTTTTCTTACCTTGGCTGCCCGTACAGCCTTGATCTTGAGGAGCATGCCCACAAAGGCAACACGCACCTTTTCAGAGCTGTCATGGAGGCTACTCTTCAGAGCAGGCAACAGTTTTTCCATGAGTGGATGACTTAAACTGTTATCCAGAATTATAGACATGCACTGCAGAGCAAACAAACAGGCTTTAACAAGACTGATGATGATGAAAAATAAATGGCAAAAAAGCACAAAGCTCAAATGAACTGTAAACATATTCATTTAAAATTAATATGCTAAACTCTGAACTTTTAATTAATGATTGGATACATTCCATTCCCTCTAAAAATCCTTTTACAGTTTGAAGCTCCTAAATTACTAAATCAAGCTAAAATCACTCATCAGAAGACAGTGTCCTTTCTCAAGCTGTAAATTGCATTCCACTGCAAAACTGGAAAGATGTTAAGCAATTGCTCCCCATCTCTCTGATCACTTTGCACTTTTCTCAAGTGACTGATAGATGGTCGGGCTTTTACCATGAACACAGAGCATCGGACATCTGGAGAGCTTGTGTCATTAGCCAGCTGCAGGATGAGCTTCTCCAGTAGGTCAGTGATGATCGTGGAAGGAATGACCTCCCAGCAACGAGCCAGGATAGAACATACACCCAGCACTGCAGAAGATCGCACGAGGGGCTGTGGGTCATCAAGGAGAGCCTATAGAGACAGAAAGGGTCAATTTGATATCCATTAAAGCTACTATCTTTTGTTGACTGCTACTGAGTGGAACAGTCAGTTTCCACAAAGTAAAAATCCCAGTCATTTTCTCCATAGGGGAACTAACTTATAAAGCGATGAAGACGACCTACTGTGAGCTACGAGGTTGTTAATCAATGGTAAATATTTTTGCAAAAGCAAACAGCCTGCATTATTTCAACTTTTTAAATATTTTCAACAGCAGAATTCCTGGTGAAACTACATTACCCATGATGATTCTGCAAATAAATAGTTTTTTGCTTTAATAAAAATTTTGTAATGTTGTGATTCACCTCGTAGCTGGTTGGTTTGGTTCAGGGCTTAAAATTCTTAATAGGTGTCATCGGATGCCCATTTTCCACAAGTTGATATGATTCTTTAGGGTCTTAATGAAACGTGTATAACATACTTTGGTTAAAATTTCTCAATGGTAGTGTAAAACAACACCCTTGTTAACTTGTCAACAGCTCTGCACACAGCAAGTCGTTTTGTTGCATGTCTCTTTAAATGCTAATGAGCTCTGCTCACCCCGCTCCTCTCTTCTGTGGGGTGATGAGCCTTTTCTCATGATACTGTTTACTTTAGCCGCAGAACTTGCTAACTAGCACGTTATTAGGAAAGGCGATTTGCAAAGATTCATAAAAGAACCTTATACTCACTTCTTCTGTAGGTGAGGCTGGATCACAAATGATTTGCACGAACATAGACACATTTAGGTCGATTGGGGGGCACATTCCCTTCAGAAACAAACGTAATCCACTGCGTCTTCAGCGGCTCAGATGTCGGGAGTAAATGACGACTGCTATGTTCATTATTACATCCAACAACAGAACACCTCAATCGCTTAGGAGACATACTTGTCTACATCTGCTCCAGCTTCGAAACAATGGCGGACTGATGACAGCTCACCCAGGGCGGGTCTAAGGTAAAACGCTAGAGTCAATCAACAATCGTGGGAGGGGCCTGGGTCTGTGTGACGTCACACAGACATGCATCTGAGAATGGCTTGGTATGAGAAAGGGGAGATGATTTAATGAGATTAAAAGATCTATAATGAGATCTTTATCATTATAGGGTGGTTGTTTACACACACTGCCAACACACATTTCAGTTCAAACAGCTTATAAAAGTGCATGTCGCATCCGATGACCCCTTTAAAGACATTTTTATTCTTTAAAAATGAAGAAATACTTCTGTAACCAAGGCCACTGAAAAAAAAAATGGGTGTACACTGGTGCACTCCATTTACGCACACAGAACACTTACAACATATCGATAATGCATAATAATGCAAGACATACAAACAGTAAATCGAGTTGTTTCTGAACAGCCTGGTCCACCATCTCACTGCTCATGCTGGGGTCATGGATGGGAAAAGCCTCAGTGAAGAGCAGTGTGGCATTGGCACGAACCTCAGCATTGGTGGCCTGTTGAAAACGATTAAAAACATGTCTAATTGAACAAGGTGATATACTTCACCAAAGCACCAAATTTAGTCTTGTACAACATGTTTAAAATATAAGCACAATAAAACAACACACGGTCAACTGATTTATTATCTACCTTTAATGCTTTCCACAGAATTGGCTTGTAGAGCCTGTGCAGCATCTCATCGACACCTTCTCGAAACTTCTGCTTGTGGAAATAAGTAAGGATCTATATGCAGACACAGGGACAATTTTTCACTTACAGTGAAGAATTAAGTTTACAAATTCATATCACTAAATTATCTGTTCCATTTGTCAAATTTCCACTGTAAGTAGCAAGTCTTATTATTATTTATCTTATTTATTATTAATTATTGTTATTTTTATTGTATTTTTCCAGTAAACAATTACAATAAAATAAAAAAAAACATTTGCCTTGGTGAGCATAAAAGACTTCTATTAAAAACATTAAAACATCTTACCGTCCCTAAACTTTTGAACGGTAGTGAAAGTTAACAAGTTCATATTTAATTAACCACTTCATTGCAATAAAGATGAAATACAGTCTCTGACCTGTCTGACTTTGCTGTGTACAGGTGAGTTTCTGTGCAGCAACAGAGCGTGCTGCATTAAGTCCTGGATGCAGGTGGACTCAAACTCCTCCATGAAAGAGCCTGATGCCTTCCTCCATGCTCTGAAGTAAATCTCAGCCACATGAACAGACAGAGTTCTGTAGGTGCAGCGGGAGAAAAAAGACAGCTAAAATCAAAAGAAATACCAGATCAAACAGAACAAATGCAGTGTACTTTGATAGCAGAGACCACTCTAACATTGCTTGTCTGATTAATATGTGAAGGTTACTACAGAACCGTCTTGCTTGGCTTGTTTTAATAAGTACAAGTTTTGTGTGGAGAAAATGAGTTTGTGTGAGTGATAACCTGATAACTCTGCTACTCAAGTAGCGTCATGCAAATTTTACCTCAAACATGTGAAGCATCATTTCATTTAATATTTTTAAAGGTGCACCGAGTAATTTACCCGCTAAAAAACATTAAAAAGATACATCCCAAATGATAGTCAAGTCCACATAAAGGAGACGTTGACTCATCTTGGTATTACATCTAGGCAACTAAAAAAAATTTATTGGTAGGCATTAGGCATTTAATGCACAAACACATTATAAATAAACTTCCATTGTTGCAGCTGCTATACTTAGCATCTATATATTGAGCGTAGCAGGTTTTCAGATTCACATTACTACAGGTGGTGTTTCACCCTCATATTGTCCCTTAACATAAACAAAGTTACCGAGTGCACATTTAAGCATTATAAAACAATAGGTCATGAGTGTTTGAAATACTTTGGGAAAAACTGCAGCTGATTCTTAATAGTTTCATGAATCATCCGAATGAAGCTGTCGTTCCAAGAAAAAAGGAAGGCAAGGAACCGCTTCCCCTGAAAAATGTGCAATAAACAGAGTTATATAAAAATGATCAATGACAGTAGAAAATAATGTCTCAAATGTATGAGCCCACAGACACATATACACAAACCTCTTCTTGTTTAATATGACAGGGCCTGAAGAAACACTGGAGGAGAGGATCAATGACCTGCTGCCCTCTCTCAGATGCAAAGTCCACACTGAGAAGCACCTCTCGTAGAGTACAGAGCCTTCTGAGCTCACCGACCTGGGAACATACCCAAAAAGCATAAACATTTCTCATCCACAATATAGAACAGGGCTCTACAGTGCGACCATTTCAGTCGCATTTGCGACTGAAAACTATTGCGTGCGACTATTAAAATTTTTTTTAGGAGCACCAGTGCGACTGAGCCGATCATCATCATACCTGTGATTGAGCTCAGGGGAGCTTCAAAGGTTTCTACGTGTTTTTGCAGCCTGCTGGCAGTTTGTTTCATTTTTAAAGTATCTTTTCAGTTGTTTAAATCATTTAATATTTCTATATTCAAAATTTTATATATATATTACATTAATCTCATCATGAATTTATGGATTTAATTGCACTCATGCCACCTCGGAGCCTCATTAAATGTCTGAAAGTACACCAAGCCACTTTTGTGTTCTTCTGTGCCACCTCTACAAATAAATTTTGTTAATACTGATTTCATTTGATTGGTAACTTATATTTCTTATTCTACTTCACCACCTGAGCCTCATTAACCTACACACAACCGTGGACATACGTTAGATTTACTCATCAGTAGAGGTCTACACATTTCATCCATTGTTGTTAAGGACGTAGCACTATCTGATCACTTGAGTCAAATATCACCTTGTAATGGGAAGGCTACTTTTTGATAAAATACACGAAACAAAAAAAAACAAGTGCTCCTAAAAAGAAAAGTAAGCATAGAGCCCTGTAGAATATTAAATGATCTGCCAGTTTATATTTTATAATGATATAAAGTGGTTCTAGTACCGGTTTTTCAAGTGTAACAGTGTTCTCCAAACAGCCAAGGAAAGCAGTCCAACCAAGCTCCTCCTTCCCTTTTAGATCCCGTCTCCACCAGCATTCAAACAGCCAATGAATGGCCTGCTGGAGGGGTGTGTGTGACAGTGGCAAAGCACTCTCTATACCTGGAATAAAGGACAACAATGGAGGAAATATATTCTACACAACTCTATTTAAGAAAAATTTGAATTACGAAGCTTTTTGAAGTGTACAAAGGTGATGTGAAATGACAAAGATGATATCAAGTAAGATCACACCTGCAACCATTTGGATTTAACCCATTACATTTAAAAAAAATAAATTATTATTACTTTATTCATCAAGGATGCATTATATTGATCAAAGTGACAGAAAAGACATGTTGCAATACAAATACTTCTATTTCAAATAAATGCTGTTATTTGGCTTTCTATCAATCAAAGAATCAAAGTTTCACATTTCCACAAAAAAATATTAAGCAGCACGACTGTTTTCAACATTGATAATAATTATAAATATTTCTTGAGCAGCTATTCAGCAGACTGATTTTCGAAGAATCGTGTGACACTGTAGACTGGAGTAATGGGTATAAATAAAATCAGTTTTGCCATCACAGGAAAAAAAGACTTTTTAAAATATAAAATTAAAAAGTTATTTTAAATTGTAAATACTATTTCAAATTATTGCATTTTTACTGTATTTTTGATCAAATAAATGTAGCCTTGGTGAGCATAAGAGACTTTTTAAAATCATTAAAAAAAAAATCTTAAAAACTACTTTATGGAAGTATAAGTGGACATTTATTATAAATCTTACCCATCTATAAATATATACAGGGCTTGAATTTCCTTTTGGAAATTGGTGGGGAAATTCCCCATTTAGGTGACTCTTATGGGGGGGATTTTTTAATTTGAGGGAGGAGTTGGGGGATTTTTTAGACATATTTTTAAACTACAATCATCTAATCTAAAAATGTTTTGTCACACAGTGTATTTGCATTTTACAATGTATAATGTTGATTCATATTTATATTATGAGGAAGATACTTAAAAAGAACTTTGATTTTAAACTCTGAATTTATTTTAACTAAAAAAAAGACAAGTACACAGCCAGTAATAAAATAAGAACAAATAAATGACAAGCAATGGCATAAATAATGTTTAGTAGAAATCGACTGTGTTTACATGAATACTCATCATTTTGACATAATTTTGCATGTATTTGGCCATTCACGCGCAATAAGGCTCAACACAAAACTTAATTCTGTAGTTGCACGCTGTTTCAGATCTCTGTGTGCGCGCTTTGGGTGTGAGTTCACAGAAAGCATCTCACAAAGAGAGCGCGAGTACTGAATTGAGTTCTCTTTGGCGTCATCTTGCACAGACTAAGAAGCATGTGCAAATGATAGGCTACATTCCATCATCTGTCCCGAACGTCTTTCACGATAAAATATTTTTGGGAATTTCCCAAGTTACCCACGTTAATGAGTAGAATTATGCACAATACCCACAATCCCGCACTGAAATTCAAACCCTATAAGCATATATATATATATATATATATATATATATATATATATATACAGAATA